AGGTGGGAGGGATATGAGATTGCCTGGACAAAAGTGTGTTGGTGCTAGCTTAGATAGGCACGGGTATGGAGAAGAGCACGGCGGACAAATTACTGCAACCATTTTTTTGGCTCATCCCATGTATTCACAGTGCAGATAGCTTGACTTGCCACTATTAGTCTGATGGGGAGAGGCACTAGGCTCTTGCAGCAGTTGGTTCGAACGTACCTAGCTTAAAAGCTAAGGGCTTTAAAAAAATCAGATTGTAAGCACTTCAGACTGGGTGCCTAGAATGAGGAGGGTTGTTTTCACATTAGTCTGTCTGCATAAATGCTTCTGTCTGGCACATGTCTGATATGAAATGGGAATAATGTCACCCAGACGTGAGTGAAGATAAGCTAGTTTAATATGTTATCTAGATAGTACACTTTGTAATTTAGAAGCCTGTTAGTAACTCTGTGTTCAGAGCCGTATTTGGATAGCTGCTGTAGATAAAGCCCAGGAAGACTAGCATCGCCTAGCCTGCACATCCACTGAGGCATGAGTCCTGCAGAATTCAGTAGCCTGAAGTCATATAATTACAGACTGCAGCAACTCGTGTGTCCATGCAGGATGCCTTGATTTTGGCAGTTCATGATGTTTGTATGCTTCATTTTGCAATACAAATCATGTTTCTTCGGTGTTTTCTCTTCTATACAGTTATACAGAATCACTTACAAAAATGTTAGAAATGGTTCTGCAGAGAATACAGGGGCAGGAGAATCATGTGCCAGAAGGACTTCAGGGATTGTATTCAAACAGCTGAAGGATTGCCACCTTCTACTTTATTTCAAGTAGCAGAGAGTGGGAGATGTAACAGAGGGCAGACAGGGCCAAATTCTCTGTCACTTCTGGTCTCCCACCCAATACATGGATGCTGTGCCACAATGCTTTCTGGAACCAGGGCTAAAGCAGTCCTGGGGTAGTTTGGACTTGATGGTCTTAAAGGTCTTTTCCAATCTATGATTGTAAAGGATAGATGGGCTGCTGCAAACACCATGCAGGGAGGAAAGTGGGAACAGCATGCAAACCATTTCAGAGCATGGAAGTAAGAGCTGCTTCTGCGACTGCTGAAAGTGTTGGCATTCATCATCGCTGGTACTGGTCATCATACATGTGGTGGTGGTACCCCCACCGCCCTCCAAAATAATAAGGTTTGGGAACCCCTGCCACTGAAGAAATCTGCAGATGAAGGCAGACTATCAACAGAAAACAGTGTGTTTCCCCCACTGAGAATGGGCTGTAGAAGCAGCTCAGAGGGAACTCTAGCACCAGATTTCTTCACGCTGTCTTTCAGGAGTACTGTGGCTTTTCTCGGGGCCAGGATGAGATCCCTGCTCTTAGAGCACCCCGAGACAAGGTGCTTTGATGACGTTTCTGTCTGGTGGTCCCATTGTGTCCTGCTTGCCGAGGCTGCGGATCCCCATTGTGTCTGCATACAAGGGGGCCGGTGCTGATTTCCGCCATTCATGCTTGTTTCTTTGCATCCAAGAGTGCTGCTGAGAAGTTTCCAGAGAAAGGCTTGGCCCGTGTTTCCAGTGTAATGCAGAGTTGTACCGGCTGCTGGGGACAAGTCGGAAACACTGGCAAGATAGCAGGCATCCTCAGGAAGCAAACCCTATCAGAAAGCACTGATGTCATTGGCAAACAAAACAAATGACTGCTGGAAAAACAAACTGTTTTCCAGCGTTGTTGATCTTCCCTCAAATTAGCAGCTCTGCACAGCCTTTACTTTTTTGGCCCAGTCTGACAGAGTATGTACAGGACAGCACTGCAGCGACGGTTTTGTTACTCCTGCTGATCCAATCTCTTTGATTTTATTTTTTAGATTTATTTATCTAAGGGAGGGTGGGAAGAGCATCCCAGCACTGCAGCCAGGTTTGGAAAGCTGGCCGGCATCCTTGTGAACATCGCGTGCTGATATAGTTGATGTCCTGCAGAGTTTGCTCAGGCAGGGCCTCCGGCTCCCCTGCCCTGGTCAGGTTTAATATGGGGGAAGGTACCTCCCCATGACTTCTCCGCAGCCCAATTATTCACTGTGACGGTGGTGAGGCCCTGGCACAGGTTGCCCAGAGAAGCTGTGGCTGCCCCATCCCTGGCAGTGCTCAAGGCCAGGCTGGGCAGGGGTTTGAGCAACCTGGTGTACTGGAAGGTGTCCCTGCCCGTAGCAAGTTGGAACTGGGTGATCTTTAAGGTCCTTTCCAACCCAACCCATTATTTGATTCTATGTGTCCTAATAGCGTCCCATAAAGCGGCCATGGCCACCACTGCTACCAGCTGCTGGCAGCTTGCACCATAGGCATGGAGCATTTGTCTGTGCGGTGGGCCTGGGGAGAGCTCACTGGGGGTTTTGGTGTTGAGGGCACCATGGCAGGCAGAGGGGTGCAGGCTTCTCTGCCTTGTTCCCATTGTGGAACTGTGACAGGCACAGCGATAGCATCCTGCTCCCAGCCAGGCCTTCCTACCATCCATAGCACCGCGGGGTTTTACCTTCCACACATGGTAAGTTTGCAGAGGGGGAGGAGACAGTCACACCATTTCTTCATGGTGCATTTCCACCCCATTGCTCCTTGCTACCAATACCAAGAGGAGGTTCAGAGTAAACCCCACAGGCTGGAGGTTTCTTACCCACTTGCTTTTGCCTCTCTGATGGCACCATGACTACAGTGGGCGGCAGAGAGAGGGTTAAGCTATACTCCAAGCCAGTCTGACAATAATAGCAGGAAAAGCACATTTCTTCCTTGCACCTGCAAGCGCTCTGATCTGCTTTCTGCTGTTTATGGTAGTCACATTGGATCTTTCTCTTGTTAGAAGCTGAACAGCTCTAGCAGCCAGCTGTTCCCCTTGCTCTGCTCGAACCTGGCTCCTTGCATGGTCCGGGGCAGCGGGTGGATGGAAAATCAGCCTTTTAGGTCAGCATTCAAAAATAACCCACGAAGCCTTCCCTTTCTTCCAAGAGGGAAGGGTCCTGCTCCTCCCTGCTTTCTGCCTGCTTGTGCTTACTGCTGGCTTGCTTACTCAGAACACTTACTGAGAATTTGGAGTCCTGTTCTAGCAAGGGATATTCCTAAAATATCTTCAGCACAGAGCTTTATTTCTCTGGTTTTAAAGGGTGTGTAGTGTTACGTGTGTGAAAAGGGAAAAGATTCATGAAGCTCTAGAGACAAACCAGTTTAAGGCTCTCAGGCTGAAAAGCCACTTCTGCAGCGTACCAGGTTCCCAGTTAAACTGTGGCTCTGCATAAAAACTGTGCATGTTTTTCCATGCTGTGGGCTGTCCTCAGGCGACTGCTGTGTGTGGGCAGTGCAGGGCAGAGGCGGCTGGAGGGTCCCTGTGTGCCTGAGAGCTGCACACCAGGCTGGACCAGAGCGGCCGGCCAGACTGGCTCCGCAGTCTGCAGAGCATCCTGGAGACAGGGCGGGAGCAGAAAATGGTTGGGGTGCTCGGTAGGCAAAAAGTGGCCATAATATATGGAGTGCTGCACCACAGAAGCTGGTTTACATTCTAAGCCACCCAATCAACTTCTGTGTGTACATAGCCTGAGAGATTTAGTACTAATAAATGCACAGGAGCCAAATCAGTAGTTGCTTCGTCTCAAGTAAATAATTGTAAACAGCAGTGAACAGAGTTCTTTCTTTCTTCTTGCCCATGAAGAGCCTTAGAAACCGGTGTATAAAGTACTTGCTTGTCATGATCTTTGCAGAGACTATCTCCTTTTGAGTAGCTGCCAATGCTGGGCTCCTGTCCCTCAGGTAGACCTGCTACTTCTAAGGACACAGAATACTCACCAGGCATGTTAAATAAACTCTTCATGTGTGGAAAATCATCTTGAGTGTTTTACATAACTAATCTATTTCTGTGCGTTTCACTTCTTTATTCACCTTTTGGTTTAATTTCTTTCTTCTAGTAACACAGTTCAAGCAAGGAAGAATGTATCAGAATGGGTCCATTATTACACACAACCTACAAAATAGATCATTACCTTCCATGGATTTTAAAACTCTGGGAGAATGGGTATTCCATGATTGCCATAATTACATAAAGCTGTGAGAGTGGTATAGACAATAGAGATTGTTTCCAGCCAACTAACTGAGTTTGATGGATCTTTGCTATAGTCAGTGCAGAATTGAGGGCTGCAATTCTGGAAGAAAAGGAAGAAAAGTCATGACTGTCCCGTGACTTGGAGATCATTGAGACGCAACAGATACGATCATCTCAGGTTGTTGCCAGTCATTTTACACAGTGCAATTGTGCTGTAAAAATAGAGTGTGCTTGAAATCTTAGGGTTTGTGTTATTCTAGTTGAGGATCACTGGTTTCCAGGAGGCCAACACAGGCTGAAGACAAAGTAATCTGTAAAAAGGGACTGTTTAGCTGGGGTATGCATGATATTACCTGGGTTTCTCATGTGGTTGCATAAAATTAATTTTTGCTCTCATGCATATTTTGTTCTTGTTCATGTGAACTTTTTTTTTTTAATGGGAATATGCAGAGCTGTAGGGAGGGGCATGCTGCCTTGTCATCCACCCCTCCTGCAGCAACTTCAAATGTAATACTGGGCACACCTCTCCATGACTGGAGAAAAACTGTTTTTTGCAGAAAGTGTGAGCTTACCTCCGGTGCAAAGAGTTTTTATGAGATCACTTAGTGACATCTGAAAGCTGCAATCACCGGTTAATAGACTTGAGTCAGCAGCTGTGCAGCATCTGCTGCTGCACCGAGTGCATGGAGGTGTATTGCCTAGGGAAGGTCAGCACATGATTCATCAGAATCTGCATGCACTTCGCTTTGTCTACTTTATTATAAGGGTGGAAGACTGAGGCCAGAGGATGAGACTTTTAGCTTCAGCAGCCTACCAGCTGATCAAAGATATCTTTCCTTGTTTAAAGTAGCCTTCTGTTTGTTTATGGTTTTGTTTTCCAGTGATGGATCCTTCTGGAAAGAGCTTTTTGATGGCACAGCTGTGAGTGAAACCAGCACAACATGTTCAGTGTCGAGGACCTCCTGATTTCTCATGGATACAAATTGTCAAAAAATCCCCCTGTTTCATGTGAGAACAGGTGTGATGGATACCGGCAGGAAACCGCGGGGAACAGGTCTGCTCAGAGAACACTGAATGGGTTTGAGGCAGAATCGAGAGCTGGGGCTTACAGGAAGAAACCTCTGGTGAAAAGCAGCTCAAGCGGCACTGAAAGCAGCCATGGGAGCCATGGGAGGCAAGCAGGTCCTGGTTACCACCATGACCTTCAGGGTTTGTCCACTTTTCATACTTCAGAAGGGGGGTAAGTTTCAGCATCATGCCATGGCTTTGCTTTCTCTTCCTTTTGGTCCTGACAGTTAACTAAGCATGACCCTAACCTTTGACACCACCTTCCTGAACTCCTTTTCTGCTCCCATACTAGTGACCATTTCCACGCAGTGCAAGTCCACACGAAGCAGTGGCACATCCATTCACCTTCTGCTTAGAGCTAGGCCTTTGAGAATATTGGGGTGATGGGAAGTGGAATATTTCATTTACTAATGTGGTCTGCATTAGAAAGGTCTTTCTGATGGGTTTAGAAACGCTCAGTCTAAGTACAGTGGAAAAAAAAAGGGGGGGGCAGGAGCTCTTCCTTCAGTTTTAAAAAACTGAAGCTGCTTCTTCTGCCATATACACACCCTGATTTTTGCTGTGGATTCAGCCACGTGCTGAACACATTAGGGTGTTCCTAAATGCACCAAGGACTTTCTTGGGTTTTTTTAAGGCTGCTGTTGCAGAGTAAACATGAGAAGGTGCCTGTGCATTTCTTTTTAAAACCACTCCAAGCCAGTGGAGGCTCTTGTCGTCACTCCATAAAACGTGCTTGTACAACTGTGGCTTGCTCAACACGGAGTACGTGCGCGCTGGGGCTGGGGCAGGCTGGGCAGGAAGAGCCGTGTGTACACACCGCCGCTTGGCCATTGTTCTGCAGCTATTTGAGTGCTGCAGATGAACAAAGGAAAGGGGCTAGAGCAGGACTGGAAGCCAGCCCAAGTGTGACGATAGTTTATGAGGAGAAGCCCCTTCCTCCTGCCTAGTGGGCTTGAAACTGAAAGCAGCGCGAAACACTGTCACCTTGGGAGGTTGTCCTCTTACAAAGACCTTCATGTGGCAAAGGCATGTGGGCCCTGACTGCTGGGCTTG